GCATATTGTGGGCATACAATTTTCTCAGAGGGGCAGACAGTAAAACAGACATTTAATATATTTGTTGTGATGTACAGAATGCATAGTTTCTCAATTTGCACATGCTCAAGACTAAATTCTTGCTTATGCGCTACATTTACAAGTTTTAAAATGCTCAAATATGCATCATGTGAAATAGCTCTGATCAGCATGTTTTGTAATAAGGAAGTCTTTTTGCAATAGTAAATATGACTGAAATAAGTGTTTGCCTGAAAGTTTGGCAGGAATTCTTAGAAAACTAACAGAGTGTCTATTTGTGGGACATGCATGCATCTTCAGAACACACTCTGCGCATTTATATGGTACATGCTTTGCAAAACACATTGGGTTTTTTTTAAATGATGTACTAATTAGGAAACATAGAATGAAGAACTTCTGTACAAAAAAAAAACTTTAAATATTGTATCGCTTCTCCTCAGTTGCCAAAGTTTTCATTTGTGACAGCGTGTTCAGAGTGACGTGCTATGTTTCCCATGAACATCAGTTTCTGCACTAAGTCCGGAAATCTTTGTTTTGCTCTCATGTGACAAGAGCGTGTTCCTCACGTTTGCCATGTGACCAATATCAGCTTGTGTCACTTGTAGTTGTCAGCACGTTTCTCCACTCAGTTGCTGTGGGACTTTCAGTTGGTATCGTCTAACCTGCCAGTTTAGATGGCCAATCGTTTGGAGGCAGACTCGCAGTTGTGCTATGCCTTTTCCTTGTTTCAACTTTTTTTGTAGGTTAAACTGTACTTCATGTTATGTTCAGAAATTTGGGTAAAAATACAACCTAACACTGACAAAACACACCTGTGGGTCTTTTACAGAGTAGCTGTATTGATATAGAGGTTCAATTCCACATATGTAGACGTTATTATTAATTTGGAGCTGGGTGCTTGGGGAAACATGCAAAAAGCTGGTCAACGTTCAAAAAAACAGGTTTGATTGTTGTAATGCCAAGAAGGATTTTTTCGTTTTCTGAGACAGGTAGGAAAATTTTCTGGAATCCCATTGTTGTCAATGTTTTTTAAATCACTTTTTACTAGATAGACTTTGCAATAACATGTTTTCATGATGTGAAGATATGAGTTTTTGGTGAACATTAGGGTATTATGCATTAGCGCTTAAAGATGAAAACATGAAGACAATTCCACATCTTAACTGAAAGGGATTTTTCTTCTGCTTTTGTGAAGATGCGCTTTAAAATTTTAGCTGCATTTAGAGTTTGTAGTCATCAAATTCTTTCTCAGTACACCATCATATATTGATTGAAAATTAGCCTGATTATGCCTTTGCTCATCACGAGACTCACACTGAGCAGCTTAAGGCATCCATTAAGAGCGTATATACATACAGAAAAGTTGGACAGCACGTTAAGAAATGGAAAATAGTTCATATCAGAGAATCATCAAGAACACTAACACACTTCTCTGTGTAATATTCACCCACAATGTTGGATTTTTATGTGGGTATTTTTATATCATTAACTTGATATTAAGAAACAAATTTGGGATCTTTGAATTCTAGATTGATCTTCTTTGTTTTCCAAATGGGTCTATCAAATTCAGAAATAATGAATATAAAAAAAGAAAAGAAACGGTGTGAAAACAGTGGAAAAAAGGATAAAAGAAAATCCAAGTTCTTATGATTCCAATAATCAGTATACAGACTAACCAACAATGAAACAGGTGTATGTGCATATCTGTGTAGGAGGATGGAGGTGGCAGTGTGAGCATGCTCTATCTGCTATTTGCTTGACTGGTAATCAGGCAAACACACTGCAAGTCTCCTGCTATGATTTGCCCCCCAGTGTGTCTCCAGTCTCAGCGCCTGTGAGTAACTCTGTATTTTTCTATGCAGACATGCATGTATTTATATACTGTCCAGACTCTACAGCGCATTGTGCATGTCTGTTCATGTCACAGCATTTGCATGCGACTTTGTCTTTGCCCGAGTCTACTGTACATCCATGCTTTCTGTGTCTCAGAATCTGTATCTCTGTGACTTCCCTCTGCTCAGAGGTATTTTGGCAACTGAGGTTTACAAGTTGTGTGTGCGCACATGTCTGCGTGCGTGAGCTTGTGTGTGCTGGCTCACAGATATGTGTGTTTTCCGGATGGGAGTACAACTCCTAGGACATTTAATCTATGGGGGAATTTCACGCTAGTTACAGCTTGTCATCAAACGTTTCTAGGGTAAAATACAGCGGCAATCTTTTATCATAGGATATTTGGGACAAATTCACTCAGACCTCTGAGTTTTCCGCTGCCCTCTAGATAGATTGCAATGTGTCTATGTGAGAGCAGGCTGAAGGAAGAGGGAGATATTCCTGCCAATGTTTTGTTTCCGTTTTGATGCTTTTCAACGGAGACGTGATTTAAGGTTGGAAGACAAAGTTTAGAAGCAAACTCTACTTTTAGTGTTTTGGAAAAAACTCTGATTCCAGAGCTTTAGGAAGGACTGGCCTCATATATCTGCAGTCATATGTGTTCACTTAGTAAGCCACAGCTGCTAGTGCCATTAGAATGATTTCCTGTGTGCATATGTCTTTTTATCTGTCCCTTCAACACACACATGCATCTAAAGGCTCAGTCCAAATTGAGTTTAGCAGGACACATATTTTACAGAAGTCTGAGTCACTCTGATGTTCAGGTGCTTCACTGTAAAATGTGACCGGGGTTGTCTTGTAACACATATCACAGTCTGAAAATAATCTTATATATTCCTTCCTTCAACATTATTATTATTTTTTTTTTTTTTGTCTGACAAAGGAAGTCAAAGCATGAGGTTTAAAAGACTGAAAAAGAAACTAGGTTAATAGCTTATCTAGGTTTCAATATTAAAAGCTTTTAGTGTTCAAGCTGGCAGGAGAGAATGATAAAAAAAAAAACAAAGGACACATTTGTTTAATAGAATAATCCTTCTTTGTTTTTAAGACGACTCCAAAGCTTTCATATGTGAGCCTTAATGTTTCGACAAGCTGTTCAATCAGTTGTTTTTTGAGGACATTGTAAATGGCAGGCTGTCTCAGAAATACGTTCCCTTGTTTTACCTGACCCACTTTTCTTGCATGCCTGTGTGCGTGCGTGCATGTGTGTGTTGCAGGTCCCTCTTTGCTCAGAAAGTTGTAAATATAATCTCAGACACATGTTACTCTGGCTGATTTTATTTTTTTTTATTTTTTTTTATGCTCGTGTCAGCTGTGATTATCATAACTTCTGCCAAGACAGAAGAGTGCTCTTTCGAGTTTGGCCCCCATACATGCTTACTTGCTTGCTTTCACACACACGCACACACGCGTGCGCACACATAGACACACAAATGTATATATTCCAACTATTGGGTAAACCTTAACTCAGCTGTCATTTCCAATGATTCCACAATGATTATTTGATGCAGTGATTTAGCTTGAATGCAGTTTGAAAGCAAACTGAACCGGGAAAAGATGAGAAAGCCGACTGACAAGCACCGAAACAAAATCTTTCTCCCAGACCATCTCCCGGAAAGCTGTTCCAGGCAACATATTATTACATGCTGGCCTCCAAGAGCACATTTTAACACTCCCTGGTCTCAAACTTTTAATGTCACCCTGTCTGTGTCTCAGAATGCAGCCATGTAAAATGCAGCTGTGACCATTGTACTCCTCGCCGAAACTGTTTCATTTACATTCATTTTGTGCATGGGAACGGAGGTTTCCTATTCCATCACGAGCCGAACTCTGTGCAAAACGAATTTCTCGCCTACCCTGGAGAGCAAGCAGAATAAGGATTCGGAACACACCCATCAGACAATGGAAGAGGTGGGGGTCTCACTTTTTTCTTTTTTCTTTTTTATATTCTCCACACCTCCCTGACCCTGCTTTCCCTTAACATGCCCCAGTAGAAGTGGGGAGGAATAAGTGCACTGGCAACAGAGGGTGATAGTGTGGGGACTGCAGACATGCAAAAAAAAAGAAAAAGTCAGATAGAAGTAGTTTAAAAGAAAGAGAAACAACACGATGGTAGCTGACCAAATGCTCAGCGACAGATTGCAAGAGGAAGACGGATGCAGTGAGGGATGGAACGAGGGGGAGAGAAGATGAGAATATATATGCGGTGGCCAGTGTTGTGAGACAAGGCAGGTTGCTGTCACTTTAAAAATGACTGTAATAAAAGTGACCGTCGGAAGATGGATCTGGTGATTTTGGCTTGCTAATCAGTCATCTGTGAAGAGGACCACAGCCCAGATTCAACGCCCGCCTGACACTTCCTGATTGATGCCTGTGCCCGATTAAAAAAAAAAAAAAAAGAAAGAATAAAAGAAAAGGGATGAAAGAAAGGCCCATTAACTGTACTCCCATTAAACTGTTGAAAAGTAAAAAACATATGTATATATATACATATATATACATATTCATATATAATCCTTTCCTCCATTTTGTGTTGTTGGTTTCTATTCTGTGCCTTCTTTTCTTGTCTCTTCTGTTTTTTTCCAAGATATTCTGTTCATCTTGCTTGTAACTGGCAGAGTGGGATGAGATGTTAATCAGCAGGGCCTAGTTTTGCATCCTGGATGTCACTACTGTACTTCGAGTGCAACCCTCAGATCAGATGCATGAGGCCTAAGCACACCAATCAGCTCTGGAACTTGATTTTTTTTTTTTTTTCATTAAAAATGCAAATGAGAATATTCTCAACAGGAGAGATGACTCAGCCTATATGATCACATACGTTTTCTTATTTTTGCCACATGACATGCAGAGAAAAAATAATAAATAATAAAAAAAATAGCCCCACAGTTGAATCTCATATCTCCTCATCTCTCCACCACTAGACACATACACAAACACACGCATACACACGCGCACACACAGAAAGATTGCCTGCAATAATAATAACCCCACAGACGACAGCTTCAGCCCCCTCCTTCCAATCCTCACCTTACCCCTTCCCTCCTCCCATCACCACCACGATATACAATCAAACAAAGCCTCACTCTTACCTTGCGCATGACCAATCCTTCCATCTCTCCCCCCTCTTTTTTTTTTTACCTCCACCATTATCTATGCATGCTCTTCCCTTTCTGTAAACCAAATCACACCTAGCAGTAGCAACACCTTGCACTGTCCTGACTGTCCCACAGCCTACAGCATGGCACTCACACCCCCACCAAATGCAGCCCTGGTCTGCCGTTTTTCCCATCTATCCCTTTTTCTCTGCCCCAGTCTCTACACCCCCCCACACACACCCTCACTCTCTCTCCCTCTCTCTCTCACTCTTCTCTTTCTCTCCTTTCCTCTCCCTCTGTCTTTTCCCTCTCCCCTCGCTCCTGGCTGGTGCTGGTGAAATATCAGGGCAAATGGATTCCAGCTTTTTTCTCTGGCTCAGAGGGGTTGTTCTGTGCGATTTGGCCCTGGGGTGCATTTCAGCGCTTCTGATGTGAGAGACACAGAGAGAGGGAAGGTATTGGAGGGGAAGAAAAAGGAAGTGCGGGTGCATGTGTCTGCGTGTGTGTGCGTGTGTGTGTGTCTGCGCGTGTGCTCACGATGGAGAGAAAAAAGAAAGGGATATATAGAGAGGAAGGTTTATCCTTTCATACTGACGGGGGGCAGTCGGCAGTGTTAAAATGACAAGCCTTTGACCGGCGCTGAACTGCCAACCAAAGGTTCGCCTGTTGTTGATGGTTAGCAGAGGCCTTGAGGTGATCTCCATACATAATCAGGACAATCCACCACCTCCATCACAGGTGTGTCGCCATCTTGGAATCTCTGAGTCAGTGGGCTCAAGCGAAATGCCCCAGTGCTGGTTTTCAAATAGAAATGATGCATAACCATTGTAGAACTTTTAAGGAGTCACATTTTGTCACCTGTCAAGTATTTGCATGATCTAGAATATACATGCACGTTTTTGGATTTACCATCTTCTTTAATTACACTCGAAAAATGTGCAAAAATTACACAACGTATAGGAATATTTAAGATTTCTATTAGTATTTATTTATCCATTTCATTTCATCGATTTTATTTTTTTTATATTTTCCTGTCTGGATTTGTTTTTAGGCCAAACACTTATTTTCTATTGGAGCGGTGTCTTTTTTTTGTTAGTTTGTTTGTTTTGTTTTGTTTGGGGTTTTTTTGCGGCGGGGGGATTTCTACCACAGATTATGCTTTACCCCGTCATACATCCATGAGCATGAACAGTTAACACAACATGGCGTGTGGGCGTGCGTGTGTCTGTGTGTGTGTGTATGTTTCATAATCTCACATCTCACTGTAGGGCGTCCTAAAAGGACTTGTCATTCTCAGCTCAGTCTGATTGTGAATTAAATGTATTTTTAGGCACCTTTCTTTCATCCCTTTGTGAACTCGGCCACAATTGAGGTCAAGCCACAAATACACACCCATACATCCACACATGCACACACACGCTTCTCTCAGAAAAAAGGACACATAGCTTTCAGAACAAATCACTGTTGAACTACCCTGTGTAGAACGTTTGTGACATTTTGTTTGGGAGAAGCAGCATTTAATTGAAGGGAGGAGCGATATGGATGGCAGTTATGCAACCGAGGGAAAATGTCTACATTTCAACCCAAATTGAAAACATAACAGAGTTTGTGTTTGTGTGGCTTTGTGTGTGTGTGTGTGTGTGTGTGTGTGTGTGTGTGTGTGTGTGTGTGTGTGTGTGTGTGTGTGTGTGTGTGTGTGTGTGCGTGTGGGTGTGTATGTGTGTATGTGTGCGTGCGTGTATGTGTGCGTGCGTGCACAATTTCAACATAATGCCATTTCTTTTCATGTTTTATTGAGGATATGTTTAGGTTCAGGGATTGAAAACTTTCCAAAGCCAGATACCAGATATTTCAGTTAATTATTCAAATGCTGTCTTTGAAAAAAATGTGAAATGATCCTGCTTTCTGTTTTTATTTTACAGTTGTTTCTTTCTTTTTTAATAAATTTGCATTTTTATGGGTTCAATTCCTAATTTGATAATATGATTTATTAAAAATCACAAACTATGCATATCTATATCTAACTATATATATATATGTGTTTGTGTGTGTGTATCAATGTCACTTATTCATCTACAAAATATAATTTTTTGTTAGGTAAATTGCTGTGCTGCTTGTGTTTTTTCAAAGCAAATTGAATAGTTTGCTCCTTGTGCAGACGACTGGCTATATTGTCATCTAACTCAGTAAGGTCAGAGGTCAGAATCACCAGAGCACAGGAGAGCCTGAAGAACAGCCTTTTGCTCACAGGCACTTGGGTGACCACAGAAATGTGCTGCTTGAACCCGGGTCACCCTGTTTAATGATGTTACTGAGAGGGGAGACTGAAGAGCCCTTGTAAGGACCCTTCTGATGCAGTGATGAAACCAACGAGCATTTTTCAGGATCACTGTACTTCACAAAAAAGAAAAAAAAAAAACAAAAAAAAAAAAAGCAAGACAATACTAACAAAAGAGATGCCTCCCTTTCCTCTCTTTATTGTCTTTCTTTATCTCACATTTTCCTTTAAGCGTTAACGATTTGTTTGGGGCACACATCCCTGTAATCCACGTGCATTTCCGCATTGGTCATTGCGCCTCAGGATGATGTGGGTGGCTCTCTTCATGACGATGACGTCCAGGCAGGAGTCATTAAGACTCCTGCCTGGATGTCTGTATATATATATATATATATATTTTTTTTTTTTTTTTTCTATGTGCCTGCAACTCAAAATAAAGACTGTTGGAACAAATAATTTAGTCAGTAATTTAGAAAATTTGCATTTATAAATTAAATCTAATAATTGTCATATTTTAGGGCACGTATTCTAAAAATGGCTATATTTCGTTGACTCTGTTTTTTTTTTTTTTTGCAATTCTTCATTTTTAGAAATTGAACCATTTCTCTTGTAAAAAGAAAAAAAGGCCATATTATTTTCCACGTTTCAACTGCATCACTCAAGTTCTTGACTAAAAAATAAAAAGCAATACAATAAATTTAAGAAAAAAAAACGACATCATGGGGTTTCTGGCGTTTTTACCCGAGGTGTCGAGATGTCAATTTGTTGCCATGGAGCTGACTTCTCGGTGCTGACCGGGTTATTTGCCGTGTTGGGACGGCCGACTGAGTGTCAGAGGAAATCCAAGGCAAGAGAGGGGTTTGGCGGGGGGCACGGATCGTTGGATGATGGGCTGGAAAGGTGGAGGGGTGACGGTCCCCAGGAGGGCAAAGAGCAGGGGTGGGAGTGGCGTGGGGAGGCTGCTGGAGGTCTAAAAAGGACCACTCGAACCACTAAATTGACACGTTCAGGCCACTATGTTGACGTGAAGAGAGGACTTTAATAAGCCATAAGAAGACTTACTGTAACAGAGATCTCATGTCCATTAGGCCATCAACTGCAGGCCTTCAGAACTGAACATAGACTATTCTTTTAATTTCTAAATTATTATTATTATTATTATTATTATTATTATTATTATTATTATTATTATTATTATTACATATTCACGGTATTTATCCGGAATTTTTTAGTCTGTTATTTATTTTCGATTTTTTTTTTCTCTTCTCCTTTTCTTAAGGAGACAAAGTTATTACGCAATCAATCATCTTCAAAAATATAAATCCACGTGACTCTGATTAACTAAGAATAAAGTTCGCCTTTTCTAAGGGCCCTTAACCAGATCTGTGTCGGGACATCGTGACACGGCCGTTTCAGGGGTCTTTTTTCTATTATTATTCCTTTGTCCATATATGGAAGGCATTCACTGGACGCGTGTCTATTAAATAGAGTTCAACAATGAGAAAGATCGCAGGACCAAAGGGGCAAGTGGGAGGAGGGCAGCAGGGCGAGGTGAGACTGAATGGGAAGTGTGCGCTGTGTTAGAAGCGTGTGAGCGCGCGCGCGCGCTCGGTTAGTGCGGATTTCCTCTCGTGCGAGCGACCCGAAATGTGGGGCGACCAACTCTGCCATGTCATCCTTCTCCTCTCCTCTTGTTTCTCCTTCGTCCCGCTTCTCCTTCCATACTTGCTCTTCCTCAGAGGCAACAGTAGTAGCACCAGCTGTATCACGGCCAACTTTGCCCCCGCCTGCGTCTCTGGAAAGAGTTTACAGTCGGGGTGGGGGCGGGGGGGCGCACGGTTTGCTCTTATCAAATAAACACAGTGGCAACAGCAGACCCACCTCCCCGCACCTTCACCGCTCTTCCTCTGTCTCCTAATCTCAAGAGCTCCTCCGCAGCTCCAAACCCCCCAACCCCTCCACACACACACACCCCTTTCCTCCTCCTTATGGCTGCACCCCACCTTCTCTCCCACTTGAGAGCCCCAGCAGCTGTGGTCCCATGTAAATTTTACATCATTGCCACCTCCTTTTTAGACCCCCTCTCTGCCTGTCGTGATCCCCGCCACCACCACCCCTAGCCCTCCCATATCATGTTGCATATTAATGTACAGTTTATGCAACAGCTCATCTGACGGTGCGCACCGGCTGTCATGTCCGCGCCTTCGGCTGGACCGAATTTGCATACGTGATTACAGCGCCTGAAGTGGCTGATTTGTTCCCCAGCGCAGGTTATGTGATGTCGAAATGTGATATTCGGCGGAAGATGGGTACAGAGGGCGGAGGCGGGTGAGGTGGGGTTCCCCTTGACCCTTGAAATGCGACTTAATCCCGTGTGGCCCCGTTTGATTAGGGCATTTTTCTAATTGTCGTCATCAGGGGGTTGCGCTATCGCGGTGCATCTGGAAGCACTTTGACATCCAGGTCCTATAAGGGGGTTCAGAACCTCTTTAAAAAAAAAAAAAAAAAAAAAAGCCATGCGTGGCGGAGGGGGTCAGTGAGCACAGAAATTGCTTAATTTGGTCGTGTTTTCATTAATGCAGAATTATTCCAATTAGCGAACACATGTCTGAACACAGCTTTCAATTGTAGCACCCGCAGCTTTACAAAGCAGTTCTGAATCAATAACAACAAAAAAAACCCACATCGGGCATCCCGGGGTCAAAATCCAATTAAATCAGACCCCGTTTCCTCAATGATGGGTTAATTTTGGGGGCCCTTGATGTGAAAATGTTAGAGGGATCCTGGTTCTGGACTGATGTAAAGGTCTACTTTGAGAGTATTTGTTTTTAAGCTTTCCCATTTTTTTCCTTGCTCTCTCTCTCTCTCTCTCTCTCTTTCTCTCTCTCTCTCTCTCTCTCTCTAAAAGGGAGCGGAAGAGTGGGCTGATACCGGTCTCATGTTGCGTATGGATTTTCGTTTATATAATCGATCGAAATGACCCAATACATTGATTTTGGGTTCAGTGTTTTACAAACAAGCGTTTATGGATCTCGATTTTATGTTAGGGGATGATTCCAGTGTGACACCGACAAGCAAAAAGAGAGAGAGGGAGAGACAGAGA